GGGTCTTCATGTTCAGACATGGGCCTTTCCATGCTTCCATGGGTGTCGACATGGCATGGGGGTCAACATGACGTGCACGGTGGACACGTGCGCATGACTCTCCACATGACGTGCACGGTGGACACCTGGACATGACTCTCCACATGCAGCGCACGACTGTCAAAAGAAAGGAAAACATGCAAGTCACATGTCTCGTTCAAATGCAAGCAAACATACGCACGCAAACCCATTGCCATTACGATTTTCTCTCACTCGAATGCGTGTCCGCCTCAAAACCTCAGGCATATAGACGGTCATACTTCTCATGTTTTGACCGGCTGATGCGCAATGAGTAGAACACTTATACACTCTAAACTTCTTCAAAATTCATTCTGCCATTTGGATGCGCTCCGCTGGCAAGCTTGAAGGTCTGGTTGCAAGTCCACAGCCCTGCGCGAACTCCCTGGCTCAGCAAATCATCGAAACAGCCCTTGATGGTCGGCCGAGCGGTGGTATCATAGATCACTGCCCACAGCCGGTTGCCTGTGAAGGCGTAGCTCCACACAACAGCCACCTTGGTCTGGTCCTCGTTGTAGACCTTCTCGAAGTTCACAATGATTGCAGAGCCGACCTTCTTGATCAAGACGTTGTGCCACTTCTCCGTGACATTCTCATAGAGGTAGACTATCTCGCCCTTGAAAACCATCTCACCTTTGAACCTGAAGCGGTATGTGGACTGGCCAAACCCTGCCACATTGATCCACACATCTTCCTTGTTCACGATCTTGGTGCTGGTGCCCATGAAGAGCTTCCGCCAGTGGCCATCCCTGGGCCAAGAACTGCACTGCTCAGCTAGTGACACATCACGTGTCCAGCTTCCGCACCACGCCCACTCGAACTGCGGTGGAGGCTCAATCCGAGGAAGTGGCACACGGCATGGATGTGGAGCAAAGCCCTCAAGGTCGGTCGGATCAGAATCGGCCGACGCCGGCGAGCGCATCGCCTGCCAATCTCCCAACCGCAAGGTGCGCTCCGAATCAGAGGTGGTCGCATTGGAGGCATTGGAGTTCGATTCATTCATCTCATTCAGTGTCCTCTTTGGTGCCATGAATGCAACTGTGTGGAATCTACAAATCTAAATCACGTTCACCGACTTGAACAGGCTGGTATGAGCAGCGATGACGTGCATTGACATGGAACACATGACATGACAATGCGTGACATAAACATAGCATGAGCATGACATGACCATGGCAGGAGACATCTCATGACATGTCGTGCATGTGCATTGTGTATAGTTTAATTGCCTTTCACATGGCATGGCAACGACAAGAACTGCTGCAGATGTCAGAGAGCACAACACAAATACAGTTGTGAACAACAACTCTCAAAACAATTTCATGGGTTGGCCAATGAACCACATCTCAAACTGATGTTACACATTCTCTCAAATCTCTAGCGGTTGACCGACCACATCTCACAGACGCAATGCCTCATACTCTTTGAATGCTCACAAAAAGTCGCTCCAAATTGTCTGAAATGTGTCTCAAATCGTCTCTGATCGTATCAGCAACCAATATGATAGAAAATCATATTTTTATAATATTATAAAAATGTGCTTATGTTCATAACCATTTTTTTATAATATTACAAAAATGTGATCATATTCACAGCCATATTTTTATAATATTATAAAAATATATATTTTTATAATATTATAAAAAAATGTTAGTCATTAGATCTAAATTTTTATAAATATATAAAAATTTAGATTTTGATCTAGTCATATTTTTATAATATTATAAAATCATATATATTAAGAATTTCTCCTTTTCAGCTTATGATCTGCCGGACGAAGGTCGTGTGGCATCAGGAAGCCACAAAAAGCCGGCTTCAGAAGATCAGAAAATGATCCATCAGGCCTCAAAACAGATAAGATAAATCTCAACCTTTGAACCTTTTTGAGATCTGCCCGTGTTGCTATTCAAACCGTGTTGCCACTCAAATCCAATTGCCTTTGCCTCAGTGTTGTCTGCAAATCCCTTTCGTTGAGCATCTGACACCACGTCGAAGGCGGTTGAGGAGCTCCACCACGGCTTCCAGCCTCGGAGCGGCAGGTTAAATGCGGATGGCGCTGAACGTGGCACTGAATGTCATGTCGTGGCATGACATGGCATGTCTTGACATAGTTAAACATGAGGTCCATGGCATACAAGGAAATGCATGTCATAGTGCATGTCATGTAATGAGGCTGTGGCTCACGTCCTTCGGCGACAAATATGTGGCGACCAGGGCCTGCAATGAGGAGATTGTCAATGAACGCATGGATGGATGGATCACAAGTCGTGAAACATCACACGTCGTGCAACGTCACAAGTCGTGAAAACCACTGGCCTTGACCTGGAAGCAAAGCTGGATCATGAGTGGGACGAGGAGCAGGAGGAGCAGGAGGTGGAGGACGGACCTGGGAAGTGCGCTGAGATGAGTAATGAGAACCTGCTGAATGAACTGAATGTCACACGCTGAATGTAACATGACCCAAGTTGAGTGTGGTACCGTTGCAGGCCCTGGTGCTGGATGTGCCGGCGGTGCTGTCGGTGCTGCTGCTTGTGCTGCTTGCGCTGAACTCATCGCCTTCGATGCTGCTGGTAGGAAGGCCGGCCTTGGTGCTGGGACTGCCTTTGCGGGTGGCCTTGCCGGCGGCGGCGGGTTTATGTTGGTGAACCCGGTCGCTTTGGCAGGAACTGCCGGTGTAAAGACCGGAGTCGGCACCGCCTCTGGCTCCGGAGCCAAATCAGCGGCCGGCGCCATTGTGGGCCGATGCTGCGGCGGCAGCTCCACAGGCGCCCGGTGCACCGGACTGACGTCCGGTGATCGCCTGCGCCTAGACCGCTCCTCCATGCACTCCACGTCGGCATGTACATGACCATGATCCGTGCATGAAACATGAACATGAAGCATGATGAATTGGGCTCCTCTCGTGCTCGTCGAGGACTGCGGGTTCGCGAGCGTGGTGGCTCTCGCTTCACCTCCCGGAAAAGGCTTGCAAGATCAATGAGTTGACAATGTCTCAATGAGTTGAGGTGATATATGAAGTGTCTCAAAATACAAAATTTCAATATATTTCATTATGTTCTTCTTGAAGTGTCTCAACTTGCGTGTGCACCTCCTTCGATGCTCGAGCTTGCCTTCGACGGCGTCGACGATGGTCCTGTGGAGCGCACGCAGATGAACATGAAAAACCAAATCACTCATGACATGTTCTGTGCAAGCTTGTTTTCCCCGTCTGTTGTCAGGCCCTCAAAACTGATATTGTGTTCACCTTGTCGGTCTCCCTGCCTCCTCTTCATCATCTTCGGAGCCACTGACCACCTGCACATGCGAAAGTCTGGGAAGTTGCATGACATGACAACATGAAGTGGCACATGGTACATGAAGTGACAACATGCGAGTGAAGAGACAACATGCCGATGCCTGCACCTCCAAGGACGATTGAACCCAGCGATGGTCCCACCGTTGCACCTCCCACTCTCCTGGCGCAATTGCAGATATACATGTACAGTCACCCATGCATCATGTCAATCAATCGTGCCATGTGCTCTCACTGTGCTCCTGTCTGTGGAATGCGGCTGCTTCCGCCAGTGCCCACTGCCCGGAAGAGCGTACAGCCGCTGTCCAGTAGTTGTATGCGCCAGCCTTTGCTCCGTTGCCATGTCAGGCTAGCGACTGCATTGCAGTACTCGAAGTCCTTGCCCTGCCGTGACGCTGGATGGGCAACATGGCATGAACAGTTATCAAGGGCTGTGGACATGACGTGTCATGAACGTGTCATGGACGTGTCATGGACACAAGCGCGTATTTACGTTCCGTGTAAACTCTTGCCCAGTCCTTCCCCGACCCAGCCTCTTGCTGCTCCATGCGTGTTGTCAAACACGCTTCGTGGAAGCTCTCGACCTCGGGGTCATCCTGCAGACTTGGGCATTGTGGTTCGAGAATCAAATGAAGATGGACAGAAAATGAAGATGAACAGAAAATGATATGAAACATCTGACAAGACTCCTACCACGCGCCCCTTACCACTGTAAGAGCCCCCTGTAAGAATGCTGGAATTGCAAGCACTCCTGGTCATCAATGCTGTGACGCTTGTCGAGGAGGACGAAATGAAGTTTGCGTCCCATGGCTCTTATCGGTAAATGAAAATTGTGATATATCACACATTTGTGAATGATCCTGTCTTGGTGAACGTGGTGTTTCAATGATGAAATATTGGGGTGAAATATGTTGGCATACGTTGGACAATGTTCATGAGTCGACAGTTCATGAATTCACTGCGCGGCGCGACGGAAGAAAGTGTTCTTCTGAAACAATGCAATTGCATTATAATTTCATTGCATGAAGTTTGAGTGTTCTTGACATTTCTTGACTGTTGTTCTTGAAGTTTGAATGTTCTTGATGTTTCTTGACTCTTGTTCTTGAAGTTTGCGTGTTCTTGGCATTTCTTGGCTCTTCTTCTTGAAGTTTCAGTGTTCCTTGTATATCAAAAACTGTTGACGCGTGCCGTGCTGACTAGAAAGCGGTCGGCGCGGAGAATGCAGGTTGCTCAATCCCATCTGTCTCAAGGTTTTTGTTTGTCTGTGGAGGCTTGTCCCTCAACGGTAAACAAACAACACAACCTATATCAACAAATCACAACAACGAAAAAGGACAATAAATCACTCATGACATGTCCATGCAATCTTGTTTTGCATGGCCATGACAAATCAATCACATGACATGATCGGTGCAATCGTGTTTTACATGGCCATGACAAACCACTCACATGACATGGTCCATGCATTCGTTTGACATAACAAATCACTCACATGACATGATCCATGCGTGCATTCGTTTGACATGACAAACCCACCAACCAACATGCAAACTTTTGTCTGTTCCTCGTGGCATCGTGAGATGTCTCTCATGACGTGCTGCGTGTCTTCAACAATCATGAGAAGCACAACTACCGTGATGAGGGCCGTGACTTTCGAGCCTTCGAATTCGAGGCAGCCAGCTTCTTGCCCACACGAGAGAGGATTTCATCACTCATCTCCAGCCAAATGACTGACGAGTGGCAACCCTCAAACAAACACTCAAATTGCTCACCCTCAACTTCGATCGTGAGAATCTCTGGGGCCAAGTGCTGCTTCTCAATCGTGTGCTTGGCCCTCTTCTTCTTCTTCTTGGGAGGCTGCTGCTCATCTTCGCCATCGACAGGGACTTCAATCGCATTCTGCACTGCTTCATCTGCAGCGCGGTTCCTTTGGCTGAGCAGCTCATCCAAGAATGGCGTATCGATCGAGCCAGTGTGTTTCCCTTTTCTCAAGTCAAGCTTGGTGTCTGTGAAGAAGAACACGGCACGATGCTCCCACTTGTCCAAGCAGAAGAATGCCTTGCCTTCCACCACCTTCTGCTTGGGAACCCAGGTCTCCCGCCCCTTCCGGCCAGCCCATGCCACTTGCAAAACTGACCCCACCTCAAAGCTTGCACGCATCATGGCACCAAACGAATCTGCAGTATATATACACGAACGATGATACTTTTGAACCTGCTGGGATTTAGGCGTGTATCATTGACATTGCAGCATGACATGAAAACATCACCCATGTGTTGCAGCATGACATGAAAACAAAACCCATGTGACAAGACATGTTTCATGAGAGTCTCAACTGAACTGTGTCATAAACACATGGTCCATGCACAGAAATGCCATGACACGCCTATACAAATGACAACCACGACTGCAAATCCATGACATGCACATTTATCTTTTGACATGGGAGATCGGTCATAGTGCAAAATCGTCACCGTGGAGCTTTGCCATCACTGGCCGTCACTTGCTCCTCTTCTTGGCGCGGCCGCCTTCCGGTGCAGGCCGCTTGGCCGGTGAAGCTGCAGCAAGAGGCTCCACTGCCTGAGACACTTTCTCCTGCCAAATCATCAGCCGCTCTCCAGTCTCGAGCTTCCTCGTGTTGCGGAGAAGAGGAAACCTCAAAGTACTGTCTCGCCCATGGGCCCAGAACACCTCCATGTTGGACTCGTCCTCCTTGCTGGTCTTCTCCACGCTGAAGTACGGGCAGAAGCTGCAATCCTTTGGATCTTCTGGCTCATCATCTCCTGGCAACTTGGAATCTGCGAGCAGGAAGAAAGAGCAAGCATCCTCCCAGTCGGTCTCAACCTTCACGCCAGCGGCAGGAACCCCCTCCCACTTGAACATGACTTTTGAAGTTGTTGGCGCCAAGATGAGCTTGTGCTTCTGGATGGGCTGTACGACCTGCAAAACCTTGCCTGGCTTCAGTTGAAGCTCAAGGGCGTGCCATTGATCCTGCTTGTACTTCTTCGAGAGGTCCTCAAGTTCCAAAGTGATCTTGGCAGCAGTCAAAGAGGCCTCGTAGTTCCAGCTCTGGCTCGTGGCGTACTGGGCAAGATCTTGCAATACCTCACGCTCAGGACGCGGAGTGAAGGTAGCCCACATCCCATTCATAATGTCCTGCGTGTTATGGCGCATGAGCTGTGTCCATGATATGGCGTGTTTTGACTTGAACTCTTGTGAAGGTCTGACATGACATGACGTGGCATGAAATTCCTGAGTGCACACTATACATGTCCATGAGAAAACGTGACCGTGAGATCATTCTCATGACATGGACATAGGAAACATGGACATGTGATTGCATGAATTGAAAGCTGAACCCTTGTGGCCTACCATTGCATGAGATAAATAAAACTCCATGAGATGAAATACGTCCTGAAAAAACAAAAAACAGTTGACTCCTTGATGTTGACTTTGAAGAAGCCTCCATCAATCGAGACTTTCACATTGTCTTCCACCACTTCCGTGATCACGGCCTCTGTCTTGTCACTCTTGCGGCGAATGTGCGATCCGACCGGGAACCCCATCTCAGCAAGCACCTTGGCCGGATCCTTGAAGGTTCCATCTTCTTTCAGCTCCCGCAGGGAGGCCTGAGAATCACTCTCTTTGACCTTGGCCTTCTCCTCTTCCTTCAAACCTGCCTCCCATCGAGAAGGGACAGGCTGGCCAGTCATGTGCCTCAAGACCAGGACAAAGTCATGGCAAATCTCATCGAACGATTCATATAGCTTTTCGTCTGGAAGACGAAGCTTGATGGCAAAGCTTGCCAACATCTGGTCAGTCAAGCCTTGGGCAATGAACACCTGTGGAGTACTCGGATCTGCGTGGTGCCTTGCCAGTGAACGAAGTTCGTTCATCAAAGCATCTGCCGTGACCACATCACGCTTGATGTCCTGACTGAACATCTTCTTGCATTCGGCCTTGCCCATCTTCTTCGACGAGTAGGCCAGCTTCACCATTGCATGTCTGAACAAGGCCAAAGAGCCAGAAGAAGCGAAACCTTTAGGCTCATGAGCCAAGACCTCCCAAAGATCTGCCCCCAACGACCTCGCCGAAGAACATCGCTGTCTCACGAAACGCTCTGTCTCCTTGAGGAGCTCACCTGTACTGCCACCACTAGCTTTGAGAACAAAGCTGTACAAAGCTGGCACTGCAGCAGCGCAAGGCGGTCGACTTTGCAAAGCCTTCCGTTTGATCTCAGCGAACGACACTGCGCCCCCTTTTGCATGTTGGGCCACGTACAAAGCATGCAGGCGGCACAACATCTGAAGTTCGTGCTCTTGTTTCTGTAAACTTGCATTGCCATACTGCTGGATCATTGGCAGGAGGTCCGGCCATTGACGGGCGACCTCCTTGTTCAGCACCTTGAACGTAATGCCGGTAGTAGCGGCTTTGTAGAAAGCCTGGTCGTGCTTCTAGACCAAGCTCAGGCTCAGTTTGCCGTCCTGGGTGAGTGCGCCTCCTTCATGCGCAACCTCCTGCACGATCAGGCGAAGTGCATAATTGGTGTGACTCCCACATAGCGTAACCGCTTTCAAGGCCATGGAATCCACCGTCCCCAAGGCACCAGCCGCCGCCAAGCAGATCTGCTGGTTGAAGTTCCGGTGCGAATCCTCAACCTCAACTGCTATGCCATTCACTTTCGAATCCACCCATCCAACGCCACTGATGTTGTCGATGAGCTCGTGAACGTCAGATGGGTTCACTCCACACCCGTCCCGGTTGGAAGGGTGGACTCCAACTGCCAGTGGGGGCAGCTTCATGGTCGTGACCATGCCGTGCTCCGTCAAAAAGTCCAGGCAGGACTGCACGGTCTTCACCAACTTCTCAGGCTCCTTGTGCAGGAGCTCTTGCATTCCATCCAGCACGCGACGAGGAAGTGCCATGATGCCCGGCGCAGTGAAGGAGTTGTCAGATGTGAACATGTTTGTGAGATTCGTGAACATGTGTGAGAGGAGTGGTCAAGTGTGATTAAGTTTGTGAAGTGTGTGAACAAAGCCTATGAGATTGCAACTGGCTGGTCAAGTGTGTCAACATGTTTGTTGTGAGACTCATGCGTGTGTAAAGTCAGAGTGTTTGTCGCATGAAACTCATGTTCTGAGATTGTCACCTTCATGTCAACATGTTTGTCATGTCACCTTCATGGGTCCTCGGTAAAAATCTTGAACACCCATCTGACGGTAGAAGTGTTTGTGCTTTTCCATCATGAACATGTCGGAGTCCTCCACATGACATGTCATGTCACGCCGTGTCATGTCATGGCCGTGTCATGTCATGTCATGCCATGTCATGTCACATGGAAACAGAAAACCATGTCATGCCATGTCATGTCACATGAAAACAGGAAACCATGTCATGCCATGTCATGTCCCATGAAAACAGGAAACCATGTCATGCCATGTCATGTCACATGAAAAACAAAACCATGTCATGCCATGTCATGTCACATGAAAGCAGGAAACCATGTCATGTCGTGCCACGTCATGTCATGCCATGCCACATGAAAACAAGGAACCATGTCACGTCTGGCCATCTCATGTCACATGACAACATGCAGGAAACCTCATGAAAGCCATGTCAAAGCAAGAAACATTCTGAATTGATCAATCGAAAAACACCGCCGACTTCACCTATAAAAGCAACTGCAAGCGAGTGAAACTCCACATGACGTGTTTGCAAGTGTCGTCCTGTTCAACCACAACCTCTCGACGGCTCTCGACGGGGGAGGCGTACCCTGAAGTAGGGCGACGCCAGCAGCTGCACGCCACATCTGTGTTCCTGACCTTGTCCTTGACTTGGCGGGCGGGCTTGTATGTGTGATAAGTACTTAGCTCACTTAGCGTAAGTAGTTACATATTAGATAGTAAGTAGCTTATATAGTTACAACACAAAGTAACTGATGCGTCATAGTTAGTAAGTGATGATAAGTAGTTGTCATAGAAAAGTCAATTATATCTTTACTTACAGAAGTTATATCTCAAGATAGGCTACTTCCTAAGTAGCACTAAGCAGCACATCCAAATACTAAACGCCTTGAACCTTTAAGTACATTGGGGTGGCTTGCGGGGGTCAATGTAGGCGGCATATATGATAGGCATGGAGTGTTTACGACTGGCGAAAGGCCTGCCACTCTTCTACGCTTCAAGCAGCCATACGGGTCCAGCCGGCAACCTACATGCAGTTAACTGGCGAAAACCTCTCAAAAAGAATAACAAACATGATGAACAGATATGAATAGTATATACGTGCTATAGTGAAAGTCCTGTATTTGTGTTAAAGGCCCTCTTGGGGCGTGAAACACTGATATCAGATCTCATGCCTCCAATCGATGAAGTCAGACATTTGTGCAGGTAAAGAATGATGCCAGATCTGAGCATAGATCATATAGACTCCCAGAATTGGTTTAAGGGAACACCTACAGTAAACCCATCGTTTTTTGTGGCGAACACCAGGAGTTCCTGCAGATGCTCCCTTCAACCCATTCATTGAGACTGACCGACGCCACCTGCAGAAGCACCATTCACCCTTCGCCTCGCGTCAGGATCCGAAGAGCTTTCAGGTGGTCCGGGACCCCACTCAGCGCACTGGGACGACGCGTGGGTCACGCCACGGTCGGGCTTGGGGTTTTCTTTGGGGTAGAGTGGGATGCCAGCAGAGGTTGAAGAACCCTAATTATAGACTATCCTATAGGTACCCCTGTAGGATCCTATAAGGTCACTTAACCTCTGTTAGTGTTGTTGGGCAGGAAGGTTTGGCATGTCCAGGTCCATGTTCTCGATGGGTGCTCAAGTTTGGTGATGGCGCCATGAGGTCCTGTGGCGGCCAAGCACTAAACCCCAATGCTGTACCTGTTTGGAGTTCTCGCAAACTAACCCAAGAGGAAAGTCAGGAAGTTCGGGAATAATCGTGTGGAGCAAGCGCAGGTTTGGATGTAAGCATCATGAGGCATGCATGCACCAGCGCAAAAAACATGTCCCGGACTTCTTTGGTAGCTGCAGCTAGGATATATTGGATCGTCATTCTGAACCACGGGCAGTGGGTTTCCCCCAGATCACACAATTTACAATCAAGCTTGCGACCTAACACCCGTCGCAGGCGGAGAGATCAAATACTTACATCTATATACTGATAGGTCACCAGGTAAGGAAGGCACAGTCCAAAAAGAAACACCGTCCTTCGGTTTCGCTGGTCTCATGTTCCACCGTCGTCCGAAACGTACACTCCGATGGTCTGACCAGTGGATGGCTCAGGATGGCGCCCTCGGGGGCCGTACTCGGTTCGCTCCGGGGCCGAGGCCCCCGACGCCGATGGGCTGGAGACAGTGGCGCCCACCGCCCGGACGCAGCTGCTGCCCAAGGCGCTGGAGCGTGGTTTGGGGTGAGGGTGGGAGACAAAAACATAGAAAGAAAAGAGCCAAGGGGTGGTTTGTGTTCTTTTTTCCTTATGTTTTTGAGGGTGGGAGACCAGGAGCAGTTGGGGGCAGATTGAAAAAGGTGGTGGGGATGTGGTGAAATGTGCGAGGCTTTTTCGTGAACTGATGAGATGCAAGATGACTTCCGACTCCAGTTGTAGAATTGAACTTGGTCCGGCTGGATCAGCGACTGGCTGAATCGTCCTTTCAAAACGCAAGGCCGAGACGACACATAGCCACCCAGCTGGGCATTCCCTTACCCGCGAGACCTTGGCAAATACACCAACAAAGACAGCAGCCAACCTTGCAGAATGTCTCTAGAGTCTATTGTTTGTTTTCTATACCTGATTGGGTCCCAAGCACCCGCCCGGTGACCACATGTGACCACTCCAGGCACCGTTGGTCGCATCTTCCCAGCTATGACCCCTCGAAGCGCCGGAGCGGCTCCTGCCTCGGCGAAAGCAGGTGGAAGATGTGGAGCTCGCGGAGGATCCGGTGGAAGAAGTGAAGGAGGCAAGTGCTCCCTGGGGACGCTTCATGATGCGAGGGCCCTCAGGAAGGGAGGGCCGGCCGTTTCGTGCAAAAGAGCGGTTGGTGAGGGCGGCCCTCCAAAAGAAGGAGTGTGGGAGTGTGGTACGTGGTTCTTTCAGGAGGCTTGAGATAGCAATGGTCTTGAAGGCGCGGGCAATGTGGCGAAGCTGGGAAAGGTGGCAGGTGGTTCAATGATGGAAGCTGTCCTGTTGCTTGATGTGTCTTCGTTCCAAAAGGTAAGACGTCACCCGGGGATGGGGGATGTGAGGGTGTCTTAGCCAGTTGGACCCGCCAGGGAAAGAAGACGCACAGAAAAGCCATATGACCATGGATCCACATACCTTCTGCAGGTGATTGGAGACGATTTATGTCGAATCTGTCAGCTGGAAGGGTTTAAGTAAGTCTGAGAAGGTATGTGGATCCCTATAGGGATGGTTGGAGGGTCTCCCATTCTGGACCCAGGGGGAGACATACTGCAGGCCAGTCCATGGAGTGGAGAGGGCCTCCTGCATGTTGAAACAGTCGGACTTCTCACCCCAGAGGGTGATTCAGGGTCGAACTTCTTAAGAGTTCCGAGTTCAGAGTTGTGTCTGGCTTATATACTGTATTAGTCCGCTTCGTTTGAGGTGGTGCCCACATCATATATGTGCGCCCTCATGGGATAGGACTTCAGATGCATGGGATGGGCCATGGGACTTCAAAAGCATTCCCCCCAAAAAGCATGGCTAATTAGAAAGCATCTAATGTCCAGAAAAGCATGTCCATCAAAAGCATGTCTTATTCCAAAAAAAGCCTGTCTATACTTGGGACTGCTGGAATCACTTGATGTCTCTCTCCTGCGGATTTCGGCCCTCTCCTTCCACTTCCGCACTCGCTCCTTCCACACCCAGGCTTTGGTTTTGTCGCTCGGCGGTGGGTGGAAGGACTCGAGGAGTAGACTTGGCTCAGGGCCGTTGCCAGGGGTTGACCAGGGCGACACCGAGAGGGATGGAGGGATGGAGGGATTTGGATTCACTTCCTATAGCGAAGGGGAGTTGCAAGAGTGGAGTCCTGGTTGGGAACGTTTGGCTGTGATGGTGATACGAGAAATGATATACCATACCGCGGGGTGCATGATAAACACTATTCCGAAGCTTCTTCCACCCGGCGCGGTTCCATCAGCCTCTTCTTCCGATCCTTGCTGACGTTCCTCAGGCGAGTGATCTCAAAAAAGTTCTCAAAGTATCCTAAGCCCACTTCCAAGAACCAGGTCTACTGTATTAAGATATCCCGTTCCGTACCGGTCAAAGGCTGTTTGGTCATAGGACCGTCTATGAACGTGGCAGTATACCCACATCTTTTCCCGCGTTAGAGAGTACCTGTTTGATGATGTCCTGGACTGGTCTAAAGACGCAAGACTACTTTGAACCTATAGTTCTTTTTTTATCATGCCCATTCCTTTCAATCTTCCAATGGGTGGGAGAATCCGTGAGTGTCACTGCACTCAAAAAACAAAACAAAATCTGAAAAAGGAAGCAACAGCTCAGCTTGACACTGCCCATGACATGAATTGACATGACCTCTGGAAGTCTGTCTCATTTCTCCCGCCCCGGGGAGGGCCGGACAACGGCACTACGGCCGCCGCGAACCGCGTGGTCCACGTCTCTCAGGCTGCACGCTGGCATCCGGAATCCTTCCAGGACAAGCCCTTTTTGCGCCACTGAGCTGGAGTTTGTACAGTGCTTGTAACTTTGTTTGTTGAAAAGTTTGGAGTTTGGGGTCAGTCTACAGCTGCATTGACATGTGTTGATCCATGCCGAGTCTTTGACTGCTGGAATTCGTCACGAGTGATGTAAAAACGTTTGGTCGGGTCCATGATACATGTGGGTCATGGAGTCATGGTCCATGTTTTCAACCATTTTCACATGTCGATACCGCGTTGGCAAGGGAGGGCAAGATCGACGG